AAAGAAATCGAGGCAAAAACCTTAACTTTTTGCCTTGTGCTTTCTATGCGATGGAAAATTTTGAAGCTCATGAAAAATACGACAAATTAATTTTTCACTCCTGAAAAACTTAATTCTACGCAAAAACATAACTTCTCGAATATATCTTATGGTTTTCCACATAGTTTTAGCTCTAAGGCTTATGAGAGTATTCGAACTGAAACCTTTCACTGTGCTCGTTAAGGTAAACGAGTATACCGGTTTGTGCAATGCCCGCTGCGGGACTCAATTTGCCATATTTATTTCTGCTTACGCTCGCTTTATATGATGTTATTAATTTCTTATGGGGCGTGGCCAGTGAAGAATTTTCGACTTAAATTTGACAGCTAGGTGTTAATCGAGCGAATTCTCTAAGTGTTTTCACGCATATTCCGTGACTAGTGTGAAGCGATTTAAAGAGAGGAAAATGCTTCAGAAAAATAAATAGAGGGAGAGATTGGGAGTGGGGGTGGGAGCTGCTGTCACTTGGGCCTGCGAAATGTGAACTAAGACAGACGTTTGACTATTTGAAACATATGTTTGCTAGCCAATTGGATGCCTAACTGCTCATAATGACTACATCCATGACGTGGCTAAAACACAGCCTTCAAACACAGTTTGCCAACCAACTACCGAAACACCAAAAACCCCATGGCAAAGCCAAAGCGCAAAGGGGCTCAAGTCATTGACAGGAATTAAAAAGTTGACAGCAGCTGCCACGTGTGCATGTGCATGTGTGTGTGTGTGTGTGGGTGAGTGTGTGGGTGGGTGAGTGTGTGTGTGTGTGTGTATTTGTGCGCGGGTCTGGGTGAGTGCGTGTGCGCCGCAGTCTACAGTAAATTATGCCACAAGTGCGTGACACAAACCAGAGGCGGACGCTACTGCGGCTTTTGCCACGATGCGTGGCAGGAACAGGGGACAGCGGGCAGTAGCAGAGGCAGTGGCTGGGCCAAGGCCAGAGGCTATATGATCTAAAGTGCGGGCCAAGGCGAGAGCAGGTCCTTTTATTGTCTGCAGCTGTTGGCTGGTACGAGCGGCGGGCTGCGCCTAAAATGCTGCAACACAATTCACAGCACGTAGCGTAATTTTGCGATGAAGCAGTCGCCGTCGCAGCGAGCTCCACGCCACGCCACGCTACGCCGTGCCATGCGATGCCAGAATTCACTTTAATGCGCATCAACATCGACAGTTAAATTAACTGAAGCGTTGAGCGTTGGGGCGTGGCCGTAACAGCACGTACGTACAGCCAACACACAGACACACATACACACACACACACACATACGCCCACTTCAGTTAAGCGCCGAATACTGCAATCAGACGCTGATTGAAGACAGACAGACATGGAGAGAGAGAGAGAGAGGGAGAGAGAGAGGAGACACCTGTGCAGACAACAATAGACAAACTGAAAACACAAAGCTTTCAATTGACACACGCTGTTGCCTGCTGTCAAAAGCGGGCTGAAATTAGGCTTAGACAAGTGCAAAAGACAGACGAGGGAAAGAGAGAGAGAGAGAGAGAGAGAGAGAGATCTGCTGCTGCTGGGCTTGGGCTTGTGGCTGCTGGGCTCACTTGTGGATGCTAGCTGAGGTCAAAGTGATTTATTAATCACAAAAGATTTGCACGCAACTTTAAAATAGTTGGTGGCAAGTGCGTGCCACACAATGTTGCTTGCCACAAGCGCACATAATGTGCCGCAATGAGTGCATTTCGTACGCCATGCAGCAGGTGAGCAGAAATATTTGTTTTTGTTTTTGTTCTCTTGAGTTTATTTGTTGTGCCAGTGTGTGTGTGTGTGTGAGTGTGTGAGTCTGTGTCCTTTGTGCTTCTGCTGCTCTTGCTGCTAGGGGCATAAACAACACTTTCACGGACACCCATAACGACGATGTGCGTCGCGACATGTTTGTGGCTGGCGCGCGTGCCAACGACAACGTTGATAACAACAAGAACAACAAACAACGACAACAACAACAACAATACCAAAAACAAAGCGTGTGCTCAGTTCATTTCACATTTTGTCGCCGAGTTTCTATACCCTGTAACCACAACAAATGATCGTTAGAGAACTTAAACATTCTTTGAAGCATAGCTAAAGTCATCGATTGATATTTTTATATATATAACTGAAATATAGAATAATTCAATTAAAAGCAAATAATCAAAATACACACATTTACTATAATCTAGCAAGGAATTTTCTATATTTTGAGGCAACTCAAGTCAGCCTTAAGAGCAATGCTGCACCCAAGCTTAAAAGGGTCTCAATTGTCAAGCGTCAAGCAGAGTGTGCTCTATATAGGATATCTGCTATTCGTGCTCACGCACTCATTGCCATCTTGAGCACTTGCCCATTTTTTATGAACATTTGCAGCAGAAGAAAAACTTTTGTTTTTTGCTCTTAAATTTCATTTCAGTTGCGTTTCAGTTGCCCGGGGCACGAAAGTTAAGGCGAATCTTAACAAAAAATAAAAAATAAAAGCTTTCACTAAAAGGGGACTAAATCAAGGGCGTTTAACTGGATAAGGTAACAACAAAATTGTGAGCGCCAAATGCGAATGTAATCAAAATAATTTTTTTGTTCGTTTTGGACTCTGGCCATAGCCAAACACATCCAGCTTAATGCCGTTATCGCAGGACTTTGCCGCATCGGTAAAGTGCTCGTTTCCAGCTCGTCCAGCTCAGTTCGGCCCGGCAGCTAATCCGTGAACTGCAGCCATTACTGAAGCTGCATCTGGTTGAAGTGGGCGAGTGGCGAAGCCCGTGCAAAATGTATGACAATAGTTTATAATTGATTGGGTCTTCTTTAAATTAAAAGCACAATCATTTTGCGCAAATATTGGGCTTCAATCAGTGCCTGACTGACTGATTGATTCAAATTAAAAGTTTGCCTAAAACCTACAGAAGCGACATTTAACTCTTTAATGGGCTCATTTTGTATATTGATATTATGATTGGGATTCAGTTGAACAAAGGGATAATGATTAAACAGTCATTGATTGATCGATTGATGACTGACGGTTTCATAATAGGTTGTAATTTGAAGTTACTATAAACGAATATATATAAATGTATATAATATCTAAACGGAGATTGTTTAGTGTGAAGTATTGCATGGAACTCAGTCAATGACTGATTGAATGACTGACGCACTGATTGACTGAGTAAAAGTTCGGTTTACGTTTTCAGATTCATCATCCAATATTCTAATGGGCTCTTACTCTACAATAATGTTTTTTTTTGGGCTGCAATGGGACAATGGAAAAACATCAATCAGTGACTGATTGATTGACTGATTGATAAAGCGTTTTCAAATTATGTCAGTTGAAACGAAATGTAGACATCGATATTGATGTTATTTAGTGCATGAAGCAATGCGGAAAGCCTCAATCAGTCACTGACTGAATGACTGACGCACTGATTGACTGATTGATCGCCTGCAGAAGTCAAATTAAACAATATAATTCAGCGTCTCTCAACATTAAAATTGCATTCGGGCTTTATTAGAGCTTTAATAGAATAATTGATTGATTGATTGATCGATTGACTGGCTAAAAACGCTTTTTGTACATAGCTGTATAAAACATAATGACCATTTATCATCTTATCATACGGCTTTATTAGAAGAATGGAATGAGATTTTGTAATCAATCAATCACCTCACAAATATTTATTTTTCAAAATCTGAATAGACACTCAATTCAGAGTTCACCAAAAGGTATTTACTTCAGTTTACCGACTACTACAAAGAAACTCTCTTCCTTATATAAACATACGGTCTATGAGGGCGTGGCTAATCGGAAAAATAAACTAAGAAGCAGAATTTTAAAGTTTTGTTGATTTTTTTTAAAGGTGGACTTTATTTATTTAGTCCGCATGGTGATGGATTTCTAAGGATCAAAATGTTTTTGCATCGAGTGAACGAGCATTGAGCAGTCGGTTGAGCTCGCCCACAAAGTCTTACACAGTATTTTTCCGAGCAGGACTTACAAATCATTTGTTATGGCTTCTGCATGAATTGATTCTTTGATTAGCTTTTGAAATGAGTAGCGAAATTTACACGCAGTCGAGAGGCAACGTACGTGTGTGAGTTGCTGTGTGTATGTGTGTGTGTGTGCGTGTGTGCGTGCGTGTGTAGAGAGACTTTTAATTTGCCAACGTTCTTAAAGGCTGTTCAAAGGCGGCAACTTCTTTTGCCGCGCAACAAAATGTGCGAAAACACTTTGAAATTGTTGCCTTTTGTATTGGGGGCTAAGCACTGGGCCGCAGCCCCAGTTCCAGGCGCTGCCCCAGCTTCAGCTCCTCTTGTTCGACAAAAATGCTGATGTGTGCACACAAGCGTGCCGCCTCATGTAGTGTCGGGCAGGTAGTTGAAATGTGGGCGTGGCAATTAAGCAGGCATCTCTATATTGTATACGAGCGCGACACACACACCCACACACACACACACACACATACCGACTGTCCAGAAGCTGTTTCTTTGGCAGCCGGCGCCAAAGTTTTTTAATTTAAAAACTTTTCGCCGACTCACTGAGACTTGCGATTTGTGGAGTCTGGCGAGTGTGGGAGGGGGAGTGGGGTCAGGCCGAAAAAAGCGAAACAGACGCCTCATGTACAAGTGTAAATATTGGCGGTAAACTGTCGACCACGCCCATAATAGCGCCCACTGCGAGCAGCACTCGGGCTCATCATCAGCAACTTGTCGTCGTTGCAAATTCTATGTTTCTTTTGTTGTTGTTTTCTGTTGTTGCTGCCGCTGCTGCTGTTTTTGTTGGTTTTGTTGTTGTTGTTAGCATCCTTGACCTGTGCAAAATGCTCTGACATTCGTAAGATTTGTGTTTGTGTTTTGTGACAGCGGCCAAAAGTTGGCCAAAGCAGCTGCCAAAGTTGTTTTTGTTGCTGGCATTTGCAGGTTTGTGTTGTTGTTGTTGTTGTTGTTGTTTTTGTTGCTGTTGCTGTTGCTGTTGTTGCATTTGAAAACTTACCGCACTGCAGGAACTTCAAGTATATCCCATTCAACGGACGTGTAGAACTCAGACAGATCCACGCCCACTTCAACCACATTGGTGCCGTTCAGTTCATCGATGTGACGCAGATCCACCTGACATATATAAAAGAGAGAGAGAGAGCAAGAGTTAGAATAAGTTCTGCACAGAGTGAGAGAGCAGGAGAGTGAGAGAGAGAGAGTGATTAGACAATTACAGGGTTACACACGTTGACAGCGCACATAATTGAGCTGCTGTGCGAAGCTGGATCAGCAGATAGCATGTCCGACTTGCCAAAATAGTAAAACACAGAAATGGAATATGCAATTGCAATGCATGCACCGCACTTAACATACTCTGCACAGAGTTGAGAGCACACCTCAAGCCATGTATTTCTGATAAATATCGTTCAGCTTTGCGAAATAGAAGATGAGTTCAAGTTGCCGTTCCTCAAGTCCCTTTCGATTGTCAAATCGGTTTAGCTGGAAGTCAGTGTATTCAAATAGTCGTCGCAGATAAGCAGCATTAAGAGTGTAGAAAGCCGAAGCTAAGCCAGACAAGTTTGCACTTCAATTTCTGTTTCAGTTTTGCTTAGTTCGGCACGACTGCAGCTGACAGAGAATAGACACGAGTATAGAACAAGTGCAGGATGTGAACAGGAAAGGACAGAACAGGACAGGACAGGACAGGACAGGACATCGTTGCAATTGGCATGCCAGCCACACAACTGGCACAAGCTGATGCCTGAAGCCTGAAGCCTGCAGCCAGCTGTTTCGTGTATTTCCCAAATGCTCTGCGCCCCGCAACAAGGCAATTGCAGCTAAGGCAACAGCTTTGGGCCCTGCTCAATACCAAGAATTCCATTAAATACATAAATAAATTCAAAATCACAGCCAGCCTAATGATTTTACTCATTCTTATTGGTATATAAACCATTAACTACAACTGAGCGCATTCGATCTGATCTGATCTTGATCTTAAATTGATTTCATCTCTGCGATAAGTTTTTCATTCAAGATTTTTATTTTACCGTTTGAACTGAAAAATACCAAAAGAAAAATCTTTTTAAATATAAAATAAAATATTTTAATTAAAGCGCGAACTGAACTCAATAAGAGTTGAATGACATGAAAAACATTTAATTTATTCCAGATTAGATCTAGATCTCCTTAGTAATACTTTGTGATCAGTGCTATATACTACATATGTACTACAATATATGCTATATAGTTGCAAAAATACAAAATTAAGCAGTTTTTTCATTGTTTGTTTTTATGTTTTTATTTTTTTGATTATTTAGCTTTTGTTTTTTTTTTTTATTTAAAAATAAAAATAATAATAACGAGAATTAAATGATATAATAAAATTGTCTTTAATTTTATTATTATTTATTTTGCCTCAGGACTATTTCATTTGTGGTAAATGTTTTTCTTATTTTTTCTTTTGATAAATTATTTTATTTAATTATTTATTTTTTTAAATAATTGATATGAAAATTAAGCGATATAAATAAATAAATTTGTATTTAATTTTATTATTATTTATTTTTCTTATCAATTTAGTTAGAGCATTAGAAATTCGTCAGCTATTTGATAATTTGTTCACATTCGGTTTTTGATGCGATTTTCGTTGGTGAGCTGAGGGAAGGGGGCGACGTTTACGCCTCAATGAGCTAGCATTGGGAGAACGAGACAGAGAGAGAGAGAGTGCGAAATATACGGGTAGAGGGAGTTAAGAGGGTGCTTATGGGTCGCAGAGTAGGGCCCAGGGTCGAGTGGTTGGTCGATTGGCGGTTAGAATCAGTTGGGCTGGCAATTCTTTTAGCTGAGGTGTGTGCGCCGAGAATAGCGTGAAATTTGAAAAGTGACGTTAATTCGATTTGCCGAGTGGCGTTGGGAGTTTGAATCGAGTGGAGTCGCGTTGCGTTTCGTCGCGTCGTTTCATCTGCTTAGGCATCTTGAGTGGCACACCTGGTGGGCGAGGCGCCTTGGCCAATGCCTCTTTGTGCCAAATCAACTGTGAAAATCGAGCCTACGAGACATATGAGCAGTGCTTGCAGATGCTAAGTCAATACATTGTTATTTGCCCATCAACGCGAATTATAATAAGTAATTGGCATAAGGCTGACTGACTGCGCACAGCTTACTGAATCTTTTTTCGTTTAATATAAACTTCATCGTTGCGCTTCAAGTCTTGTAAGAAATTTACTCTTCTCATTTGAATTTGATGCTGGTTGAAATTTGTCCCCGTTTTGCGCCTTTTTCCATCACGTCGAACTCTCTTTGACATTTTCAAGCTTGCAATTCGAAATTTCTGTAAGCACGTTCGAATTTTTGTTTATAACAGGCCAGACTCTAGTATGAGCTGCCTGACTAGGAGATACCCTGCACGCTGCAGAAAGCTACAAATAGTTTCTACTATTTATTTAGTTTATACTATTTAGTTTCTACTATTTAATGGACGGATGCGTGGAGTTGATGAGGTATTCTATAAAGATTTAAAAGCTGCGCCTTCATGAGATTTGGTGTCCTCGACTAAGATTTAAAAAATCGATTCTTATAGATAAGATGAGATGAGTTACAGAAAATAAAGTCTTTTACTGCTCATGGAATATAACACACGCTTTTATAGGGTCACACAGACAGACGCCTAGCAGGTTATAGCTATGTTAGCTCAACTTGTACTAATCAAGATTATATATAGACGATATGGCAACTGCCATGACTTCTGCCTGTTGCAAAATGAATATACCCAAAGACTTTGCTTTTGTATAGAAAGAAGTTTCTGTATAAATTTGTAGATATGTTTACTTAGTTTAATCTATCGATCAGCAATCATTCAGTCAATCGAGCAAGTCAATTTGTCACTGGAAATTAGTTTAAAGTTGGCTTCGACTTGAAGGCTGTTTGCACTTCAGTTGCCAACTTGACGATGCTTTAATTTTGTTGTGCGAAGCACAGATATTTTGCTCCACTGTGCGTTGTTTGGTATGCTTTGGTGTTCTTCACATAAAATTAGGTGTGCAATCGACGCTCGCTGCCTTTCAACATGAGCAGGCAGCAGCCATAATCAGACAGGATGTGCCTTGCCAGGTGCAACTGTTGCGATGTTGCAACTACATACTTATAAGCGCTTCTTACCGCTGGTAGTAACTGTGCAACTATGCAACTGTGACTGTAACTGTGAATGTAACTGAAACTGCCGAAGCGGAAATTGTTATTTTAAGTGGTAGCGGAAATTTCACTATAAGGAAGTTACGATTTACTGAAATATTTCCGACACCGAAAGATGTTGCTTGCGACAGAACCTACACACAAGGTAAAAGAGAGAGAGAGAGAGAGAGAGATAGAGAGAGAGAAAGAGAGCGTCACTTTGAGACAGAGCAGTGAACGCTTTGCCACTGGGGCACAGTTGACAGACAATTGTAAATGCTTTCAATTCACAATGAAGCCAACCCAGCGGCCATTAAGCAGTCCAGTTTCTGTTTCCGGCCTCGTGCCGCGTGCCTCGCCTCTGCCAACTGTGCCAACGGGCTACGCTTTGTTGTCCGCTGTGCGACTGTGCGCCACTGCTTGTTGTATACAACAGGAGAGTTTATAAATATTCTATGATACGGCGCTGTTGATACCGCTTATTGCGGTTGATTTATGTGGACCACAAACGATGCCCACATTCGCGTCCACAAAAAAAAAAAACAATGAGGCGTTGATAGCGACAACAACAGCGACAGCGACAGCAACAGCAACAGCGACGGCAACAACAATAACAACATTACAATTGTTGTCAATGGCAATGTTACACACACACACACACACATACATACGCACGCACGCACGCACTAACTCACACGCAGACACCGATTTTTCAGTTAAGAAACAGATAGCCACGTTTTTGTGCGTTTCGTAGCATGTCAAACGCTGTTAGCGCCTTGTCTTTTAATGCCAAATGAAGATTGGCTTTTTAGCAAATTAAAGTCAAAGTCTGCCAAGTCTGTGGACCCCATACGCGTAGTCTACTGTATTCAAGTGTGAGTGGAAGGCTTAACGTATTCGTTAACAATTGCGACAGTGCCTGGATTGGCCTGGATTGCGAGCAGCTGCCAGAACTTTGAGCCAGAGGCAGAGAGTCAGAGTTAAAGAGAGAATCTTTGTAGAGTTCACCTGTTTGCTGAGCAACAGAACTCAGCCTAAAATCTGCTATTAAGCACTTATGGATTAAGGCGAAATTATCTGATGAGATTGATATAATTTTAGCTTTGTTGTTCACTTTGTCTCCTCGCTTGGCTCCTTGCCTTGCCTCTCGTTGAGCTTTACACTCTGCTTCTCGCTTGATTAAAGCAGGGCTTTTTGTTCGTCTATTCAGTTAGTTTCTTATTGAGTGCTTCGCTGCGCTTCTTTCTTTTCATTTCACTTTGCTTCTGGCTGAGCTTCTCGCTTGATTGATTCGCTCTGCCTTTTACTACGCTTCTCTCTTGGCTATTCCCTGAACTTCTAAGTTTTGTCCTTGCTTTGCTGCTCGTTAGGTTTTACACTTTGCTTTTCGTTGGAACTTACACTCTGCTTCTCGCTTGATTAAAGCAGGGCTTTTTGTTCGTCTATTCACTTAGTTTCTTATTCTTATTGCGCTTCATTCGTTGCCTTTTGCTTTGCTTCTGGTTTCTCGCTGGATTGATTATTTCTGCTTCTCGCTTGGCTATGCGCTGAGCTTGTAACTTTTGTTGTTTCTTTTCTTATCGTTGAGCTTCTCGCTTTGATTGACGCAGTGCTACTTGTTTATCTTTTCAATTAGCTTCTTAGCTTCTCTCAAGTGTTTTGCTTTGCAACTCTTTGTGCTTCTTGCTTTACTTCTGGCTTAAGTTTCTCCCTTTTTGTCTCAACTTGCTTCTCGCTTGACTGTTTGGTGAGCTTTTAACTTTTTTCATACTTTGTTTCTCGTCTTGTTTCTCACTCTGCCTCTTAATAACTTCTCGGTTTGCTTCTTTGCTTTTCCCTTCTTTGCTTCTGGCTGAGCTTGCACTTTGTATTACTGCTGCTTCTGCTTTGCTGCTCTTCTTCGTCTTTTCTTTTTCACTCCGCTTACCGTTTGGTCTTCTCTCTACCTATTGCTTTGCCCTTTACTTTGTTTTTCGTTTTCTTTCGCCTCTCACCATTCGCTTACGCTGCTCGTCTTCGTTTTACTGTGTTCTTGATGATTAGCCTCCATCTTAAGCTATTAGCATATTTCATAGCCTTTCGCCTTGCTATTTTTTCATGTTTTGCCACTGTGCGAATGGGCTCTTCTTCTTACTTTCGTGGCTTCTCACGTAGCTTCTTGCTTTCGAACACAGTTTGCTTTATTATCTAGCTTACCTATCCTCCTTCATCAACTTCTTTTTTGCTCTACGCACTTTTCGCCGCAAAGTATGCTGCAAAAAGTGGGCGCTGCTATGCGTGCGTGTCTGTGTGTGTCTGCGTGTGTGTGTGTGTGTGTGTGATTGACGGCTGGCTGTGCGTGTGAGCTATGCAAATTAACAGCAGTTCTGCAAGTTGCATTACGTAACAACTAGCAGCAATTTGCGTCGCTTCAGCTAAGAGAATTGCATAACTACTTCGCACGCACACACTCACACACGCACACACACTCACATGCATGTAGACATTAGCTTGTTGAGCAGACTGGCATGATTGAGGGTAACAAGATTTGATTAAAGCCAGGGCAACATTACGCCTGCGGCAAGGCCAGGTATTGCACATGCAGTGCGACTTTTTTATGACGCCAATGCCGAGCGCCGCATGTGCGGTTAACCGGGAGGTAGCAAAGGCTGGCTAAAAGAGTTGCTGGTGCTGTGAAGAGCTGCGGGCCATTTGTCGGCTCATTTGCGCTAAGCTGCAAAGTCGCAGCAAGCAGTGAATGCCGCTCTAATGCCACTTCATTAGCTGCCAAGTCGCTGCCGGGTGGCAACATTAACGCCAGCCCCCATGCCCCATGCCCCATGCTCCATGCTCCATGCCTCACGCCAGATGCCACATGGTTGCTGACGCCTGATGTCTCATATCCCATGTACGACCACATCGCACCAGCCAGCGCCAGCGCCAGCTGCAGTCGCCTGCAAAACGCCTTTTACGAGGCCTCAACTGTCGCTGCTGTGTCCCTATCCCTGTCCCTGTCCCTGTCCCTGTCCCTGTCCCTGTCTGTGTCTGTCTTTATTATTGCCGACAGGTGTCAAGCCACCTTATTGTCCCTTGGCTCGTTCTGTTCTATATTTGTTTACACAAATGTCTCTAACTCCCCTCCTTCCCCCTCCTCCTTGGCTCCCACTGTATGCTTTCAAATCGCCAGAGACAATTTTATGCAGCCCGTTTCTGTGTGCGGCCATAAAATGTGAGAAATTCTATGCCACAACAACGAATTATGAGCGAATTTGGGTTTATAGCCACTAAACCAGCAGCAGGATCCCATGCTACTTGCTACTGCTGTTGTTCAAAGAACTCATCCACAGGAGCCCAATTTCCAAAGTGCAAACAGCGTAGAAAAACCAACCTGTGTTTCTTTCTCTTTTCTTCTTCTGCTTTTATTTGGCTCTGAGTTCTATGAGCTCGATAATTCTTCTACATTTTATCTCGATTACAACTCATATAATACAGCTGCACCGAACAGTCGTGACCTGAATATTTACATAAGCTCGGAACACATTGGCTTACCAGAAGGCGTCGCAGATCCCATTACGGAATATTTGTATAGATATATATCAAAAACTAACTGCGCTCGTCAAAAGCGCGAAGCATTGGAATCAAGCAGAGCAACGCCTTGAAAAGGGGAATTCAGTGCAGATTGCTTTGTGCCAATGTATGTAAGAGTCAGAGTTTATGATGATGATAAGTTGAGTCTGTAGTTGAAGTTTTAAATGCATGTTCATATTATGTTATGATTATCGATAAATATCGATGATTCAAGCGCATGTAAAGGGCTCCAAATTTGATGGGCTATTTAAAGATTGTGAAGATTGGAAACATCTCAAAAAGATAGAATTGTAGTGCGCCTCCCATAGTCTCTAGTTTGTGAGTGGCTGGATGGATTGGTTGAATGAAAATTACCTGGAATCCGTCGTATGTCCAGCTGCCGAACTTCATGACGCATGTCTGCTCGTCAAAGGGAAAGTATTCGACATCGATTTCGCAGGAGCTTTTATAAATGGCCGGCGGCCGCCATTCCACGCGTCCTGTGTAGTTCAGTGTTGCCTTTGTGGCCAGCGTCACCTCAAAGTTGCCATCAGCGCTGTTGTTGTTTGGAATGGAGATTGGGTGTGTGGCATTATGGTCAGCTCTTAGCTAGTAAACGAGGCTTACTCACTTGTTGTAGAGGACTATGTCCGGGCGCCAAATGTGATCGGAGGGCACGTGCAACATTTCGACACCGCCATATTCCTTGGGCTCCCATTTGAGTTTGTAGTCGTACCAGGATTGCTCCACCCATAGATTGGTGGTCATAATTTGGTTCTTCAGATTGACATCAATCAGTTGCGATAGCTTCAGTTTGATGCGCACCGTGAGCGCATCCGTGACATTGACCACGGGACGCACTAGTTTGTTGTAGTTGCTGAGCAGATCGTCGTAGAGTCGCTTCGCATCCGGATTCGCTGTGCTGCCTGAATACAAATATACAAAATCATCCAATTAATACGGCTTAGAAATCCAGCCAGTTCGCATTATTATGCCTATTATTCTTATCAACTATCTTTGGACTGTTCGCGCTCTTCGCTCTCCGCTATCCGCTCTTATTTTCATTCTCTCATTCTGATTTCCATTTCCGCTGCCATTTGCCGTTTCCACTTGCAACGCATATTGCTGTGTATGCGCAATGCGGCAATTAATGTGCCACACATTAAATTAATGATACGCTGATAATGGCATCACAATATGCTTGACCAGCCACGCCCACACCCCAGCCCAAGCCCAAACCCAGACACAGACACAGACACAGACCCAGAGCCAGACCCAGATCAGCCCCTGCCGCCTCTCCAACTGTCAGCTCCCTGTGGACTTTACTAATTAGCTTTGCTTTTGGCTTATTCCGATGCGCGGCCGTCACGAAAAACCCGAAATCTTTTAATTGATTTATTTAACGTCCGACTGTTATGATACCCTGTCGCTGGGCCTCGCATAACTATGTCGCAACATGCGCTCCCCATTAAGCGGGAGCAATAAGCCCTGTTTTCATTGGCTCGACAAGCCGTTGGCTTTCAAAACGTGGGATTAAAACTGAACATAAATATTTATACATACGTATATAAATATTAGAGACTGATAAGAAGTTGTGCTCAGATCGAGATTTCAGATAGACGTGATATGGAAATACGTCTTAATCACAAATGTCAAGCTTGAGCCTAAGCTGATTGATGGAAGAGAAGCTGCGAATGTCTTAAGCAACAGCGAACCGCTTCGCATAAATTAAAAATCTTTTCAATATTCGCCTTTTGTATCAGTTGTCAGTCGATGTTGTGATGAACTTTGCATAATCTTAGCTTAATTGGATAATTACTGCGCTTCATTGGAAGGCAAAAGTAAAAGCTTTTTCCTTTTTCATTCGAATCGACTTTGTGCAAAGGGGATTTGTTGAAGGTGTCTCAAATAGGTTAAACACCTCGAAAGGTCTGCCCTCAACTCACAACCTATAGATGTCCGACTTTTACAGACGAAAGCAGTCCATATAACTTAAGGGTATTCAAGGTTCGACCAGTCAGCCAGCATTTGCTGTGTATTGCCGATTTCGTTGACTAAGACTGGCAAACTACAAACTATCCTAATGCGCTTAGGCTTCAATACATGGATTTTTATTGCGCTACGCCGCCTGCTCTGCTCTGCTCTGCCCGCACTCCGCCACTGTAATAATGATAAGCTGATTAGTGAACGCTTCCTTCTAATGACATTGGCGACAATATAACATCTGCTGTTGTTGGGGTCCCGGATACCAATCAGCTAGGCGCGCTTTGCATGCGATGCTCCACTGGGCTGGTGTCCAGGCCTGGCTGGCAGACACTGTTGGCGGCCCTGATGGGCGCATTAACTCATTTCCTGCATCATTAAGGGGCACCTGCAGCGCTCGCACATTCACAACACACACAACAGACACACAGACACCAGGCCAGGATGTGTCCGACATTCTAGCCGCAGCACTGCTAGCAATTAGTGCCAATGGGCGTGAGCTTTATAAATTTTAGCTAGCTTTGAACTCTGAGTCGGGCAAGTGTGGAGCGAAAATGAAAGTGCGTCCGTCCATTGGAGTCTGTTAAAAATTAACTACCTATGTTTTTGTGGCACACTTTATGCCTCTCTGGAGCAACATCAATCCATTGCCTACTTTAAGACCGCAGCGCATTTGGCCAGGCAGCTTGGAATGTTCTTAGCCAACAACTTGCCCGCTTACCCATTCGCTTGACAGGGTTTATATATATATGTGTGTGTGTGTGTGTGAGTGTATTTGTGGGTTAACGCTGTTGTAGCTCGCGTGGGAAACGTTAAGTTAAACGGACCTTTGCGGCGACCGCTTTTGTCGCCTGCCGTTTTCGGCACACATGCCGTATACTTTATTTGGCACATTTCAGATGTCTATGTGTGAGTGTGCGAGCTTACGTGTAGCTGTGTGCGTCTGTGTTAGTGCTAATTGACTGCTTTCAATGCTTACATGTGGCCTGACAATCACATTAAGGTAACCAAAAAGCACATTTTATGATTGCTTTGCGTGTCGCACATTTATCGTGACAAATTATTATGCACACACACACAGACACACACGCACACACCCATAATTATATATGAATACGTGTGTGCTTACACATACAACTTAATGTCTCTAGCTTATTGTGTTAATAGACAAAAGCCAGGCGAACAATTGAATTTCTTCTGGCTGACAGACTGACCAAATCCGATTACAGGCGCAGCTCTCAAATTCTAATTAGTTCAGCATTTCGTATTAGGCCCGACTTCAAAGGTTTCGCATTTCTTAAACATATCCTAGTAAAGCTTATTAGCTGATTCGTCTGAATTCAGACCCAATGCCAAAAGGTGATTCGGCTTCCATTTCAATTAGTCTTAGGAAATTGCGACTCACATATTCATTGATTGCACAATCAAAACATTTCTATAAGACTAAAAACACTTTTCACAAAATATAGAAAGAAACTGAAGAATTATGTTACAAGAAATTAAATTCTGCCAAAAATTCTGTTCCTTTGTGATTTGTGCTAGAGTCAGATACCATTCCTGTTGTTGGGCCCCTTAATAATACCTAAGAAACTACGATTCCGACTCGGATTCCCATCTCTGATCTCAATTTGCAATTAGTTAGCAGACTTATTCGAGTTCTTGGCAAGGCTCAGTTGTCTGATTCGCATTCTTTGTTTGTTCTGGCTGACAGTTCTTGGCTACACCTAAATGCAATTTCGTTGTTTGCGACCCACAAATGACAGCAACATGGCTGCAGTCGGACATCGCTTTGCCCATTTCCACATTCCAAAGTCGTATTATCTCCTTCTCCATCTTTCCCTCTCTCTCAGTCTCAGGCTTTGTCCATTTAATGCTCGGGCACCGCACATTTGGGTCGTTGTGCAGCTTATATAATTATGCGATATGGTTATTTGAAATTTATGTGAATGCGTTTGCGCGCGTGTGTGTGTGTGTGTGTGTGTGTGTGTGGGCCACATTGTAATAATTAATATACATTGCGTATACGCTACACCGGCTCTAAGCTCAGCTCCTTTCAACAGCCCAGCTGGCAATGATCTAAGTATGCACACCTTATGCTCGAGTTGACTCGAGTCGTTGTTGGCCCTTCAGTTCATTGCGAGCAATTGAAAATACTCGTTATTTAAATCGGTTTTTTTTGCACTTCTACTAACATAATCGAGTTGCAGGTCCTTCAGCAGTAATTGGCATTCATTAAGGATGCCGTTAGCTGAAAATTTTGATATTCTGAAACGCTGGAACGCAGCTCTTTCAATTTGACTTGCCAAATTGTTTTTTCTTTTTCCGCCGTCCCCCGTCTTTTATACCCTTTACCCAGTGCAAATTGGTAAGGCAAGGCTCGATTGGAGTGGCAAGTAGACAGAATATGTATTTCTGAGTAGCAGTACAAGATGAATCCATATAGCTATGTCGGACCGTCTGACTGCACGACCAATGGGTATGTCTGGAACAGAGTTGCGACTTAAGACTTCGTTTTTATTGTAGCCAAGGATTCGATTTTGTATTCCTTATATTCCTGCATGCGCTTGCAGTTATAGAAGAATACAGGGTATGCTCTGTTCGATCACATTTGCCAATCGCGTGCATAACTTCTTTTTGTTTTTTGGTTTTTTTTTTTTTTGTAGCTTTGCTTGTTCACTGTCTCTGCTTTGGATGCTGCCACGGCTTCTTCTGCTTCCTCCTTTGCTTCTTCTTGTTGGCGAGTCGTGTGTTTACTCAACTGCAAGGCGAATGCAATTTTTGTGTAAACAACGCCATAAATTCCAATGGCTTAACAACAAAACGTTAGCACGGGCAGCAAGGCCACGCTGCAGTCACTATGGCCAGGTGGACGGACACTGGGTGTTGGCAACAGAGGAATGAATGGCAATGGCAGCCACTGTTAACGAGTTGTCTGTTGGAAATCGTCATGTGACAGAGAGGGAGATAGAGAGAGAGAGAGAGAGGGAGAGAGGGAGAGAGAGGGACTATGGAATGCCAAGAACTTCAAATTTGGATTGCAGATTGGTTAAAACTTTTTTATTATTATTATTCAGCTAACTCATAAATATTATGATATTTCGCATATACGAATTCTCTTTATATACAAGCCAAGTACGCTGCATGATTCATAAGGATCCTTTGCTGCCGACTGAGAAGCTGCTCTTTATAATTCTAATGAGTTGACATTTGATCTGCATGTTCTATGAGAAACTGTATTTTATAATGCTATTGAGCTGCCTCTGTTCGTGCCTCAGTCTCTCACAATCAGAAACTTTCAGACTCTTTGCCTTTGTCTGTCTGTCTCAGTATTTCTTTGTCTATGTGTGCCTCTCTATCTCGCTCTCTCTTTCTATCTTTCTATTTCTTTATCTCTCTATCTCTCTATCTATCTATGTCTGTATGTTTCTATCTCTTTATATATTTATCTATCTATCTCTCTATCTGCCTATGTCTTTATCATCCTCTCTCTATATCTCTCTATTTTTATAGCTCTCTATATGTATATATGTGTCTCTGTCTCCGTGTCTCTTGGTCTCTTTCTCCAGCCCGTTCTCTCACTCATGCAAATAAATTAAGGACGTATGTTAACAATGTTGTATAACGCAAAGGTAGGGGATACAGGCATCTCATAGTCGAGCACACTTAAGTGGAGCATACAAGCGTGTTTTTGTTTTGCCAACGATTGTGCGCTGACTTTTTAAACGCTTGAAATTTACACGCAATTATTGTGAATACATGTGCATGATAACTGGCTAAAAAAAGAGCAGGAACTTGTAGCACCAACAGCAACAGCAACGCAACTGCAACTGCAACTGCAACTGCAACTGCAATGGGAGACGCAAACGGGGCGTATGAATAATAAAACACTGCGCCGAACAATGGCCAAATGTGGGCGGGGATGGGGGCATTGGGGGCGTCTCGC